GACTTGTCAAGATCATCTTTCTTGGATCTACAATCAGTGCCCATGGAAGCTGCAGTCAGGAGGTCAACAAGCCAGGGTATTTTCAATCACCTCATATGCTTCTGAAAGTTGGACATCGAATAAGAAAGACCATAGAAGAATCGATGCATTTGAATTGTGGTGCTGGTGAAGAATATTGAAAGTACCAGGGACTGCCTTAAGAACGAACAAATCTGTATGGGAAGTAGTACACCCTGAATGCTCCTTAGAGGCAAGGATGGTGGGCTCTGTCTAACATACTACAGACATGTGATCAGGAGAGAGACCAGTCCATGGAGAAGGGTATCATGCTTAGTAAAACAGTGGGGCAATGACAAAGAGAAGACCTTGGACAAGATGGATTGATCCAGGGGTTGCAACAATGGGCTCAAGCGAGAAATGTGGGCTGGCACAGGACTGGGTGGTCTCGGTTCTGCTGTAGGTAGGAGTGCTGCGAGTTGGAGAGACTCAATGACACCTAACAGTGACAATAACAGCTGTTCTGCAAAGATGTCCAGTCACAGATCTCCATCCAGGATCTCTTTGTGTGACAATAAGTTTGGTTTAGTTTGGGGGAAAGACAGTTTTATCACAGGGCAAGTGCTCACTACTAAGGATGGCCTATCTTCCTGGAATCTCCATTTGTTCACATCCATAGCACCTGTACTCTAACCAATGCCTTGGCAGACATTGTTCTTGGGTCACCTTTTCCTCAATGGGTCCTGCATGTGTAAGTGCTGCAATTTTCTCATACACCTGGCCAACCCCATTGATGCCTGTGAATGTGCCCATCATCTGTTTCCATGTACACACAGTAGGAACATCTGACTTAGGAATGCTTTAGCTTGCTCTTTAATGCTACACAAATCTGCTTCTTTGAAACCATTGAACACAACCCTTAATCACACCAGATCCATCATCACCATCAACTTTAGTGGATGCTTTTAATGAATTGAAAAGTCTTCAAGCTTTTTCTTGAACTCAGCGCCCTGCCATCACCTCGATTCTTTCTTGCGCTAAAGTAAGGCTAAAAAAGAACAAGTATACCCATTCTGACTCACCTACAGATTGGACTTAATGACTCAAGGACTCACAGAGTGATGGATCTTGTTTGCAATCCAGAAACTGCCTGTAAGGTTAAAACCTGTTCAGTCTCCACCCAGCTACCTTCCATCTACTGATAATGTCAAACTTCGTGACTGCCTACCAGTTGGTCAATTTATAAGCATTGCTAGATTGATTGTTATTCCCTTAGTCAATCCAAAGATGAGATTGCTCTGATTCACATCTTAAAAATCACAGGTGCATCCTTGTGTGGTCCATGTTTATATGACAAATGTCTGTTTGCCAACATTCATTCTGCTCAGTGGTTCATCTACTTGAACATAAGCATGCTTGCTGGCCATCTTTAAGTTTTCCTTTTATTGGTAGTAATTGTTTCTCACATGAAAAATAAGATTAGCAAATGATGAAACTAAAGGTGTTGTCAGACTTTGACAAGCACCCCAATGAAGATTGCTTAGGAAAGTCATACCTTTTTAAAGGCAATTTCACATCCAAAGGAAATCTCTTATTAACATTAAGGCCTATAATTAAAATAAAGCTAATACTTTAGAAAACGAAATGCCTTGGCTAATGCCTATATGCAAATCAGCCCTCCTTTAGCTTATTATTGTTAGCTTTCCAAAAACATTTGCTCATTATGTTCACAACTCCAGGACACACTGTATACCACGAAGAAGCAATGCCATTGGTACATCAATGGTAAGGAGCCCTGGTGACGCAGCAGTTAGGTGCTGGGCTGCTAACCCAAAGTCAGTGGTTGGAACTTACCACCGACTCCTCCTCGGGGGAATGTATGGCAGTCTACCAGTAGTTATTGACAGTTTGGAAACCCGCTGGGGGAAAGACTACTTTTTTCTACAGCTTGGTTATCAGCCTGCATTTTCTCCATGGCAAGGCATCATGTCAATGTTGTCTCAAACTGGTAGTTGTCACGGCATCATCAGACAAATTGGTTCAGCAATACAAACATTGTGGCAGACAAACTGTCACCTAGGTGAACAGAATTGCTTTCTCAGCAACTCAAATAACGTAAGGAAGAGCATAAAGATAGAGTAACGTTCAATTAGATGACCTTTCAAAAACCTAAATATGAATTCCATTCACTTAACCAAATACTACAATTTACATTTTAGGAATGCCTATATATTTCCTGGTGGGAAATACATTGTTGTTGTTGTTTGACAAAAAGTCAGTTCCTACCCATAGCCACCTTTAGTACACCTTCTGTACTAAAGAATGAGACCCTACCCGGTCCTGTGCCACTATTCTGTCCACTCCGAAGCTACAACAAGGTTGTGAGAGTGGCTGTGCCAAGTGCTTCATTGGCCTCCCAATTGGGGAGGTAGAAGCATATCCTTCTGCATTCTGTCGTATTGTCTGTATTGAATTGGGGGATGGATTGTCCCATGCCTGGTCACAACAAGGCGGTGATAAAAAGTCACACATGGCCACACTAATCCTTCAGCTAACGTGTTGGTGGCATTTTTATTGCCTTTAAAACCAATATATATGTTTCCTGTGCAAAATTGTTCTTGTTTCCTAAAAATGATGTTTTGTTATTTTTTTTCAAGAGAGTCCAAATATTCTACAAATTCAGTTGTACCACCCCCTGGCATGCCTGCTCAACCTAAGAGGATGTGTTTTTTCCTGGAATTATGCCCTCTCTTGAAAGCCACGATCTGGACAATTAACATATATATAAAATTAGGAAAATGTTCTCAGCTTCTTGCATCATCAGACCTCAAAAGAAAAAAGCTTACACAACCAACAGTTCTATCCACCGCTCACGTGGCCCTCTTCTTTGGCAGTGCTCTGTAGAAGGCATCTTTGACCTGGGCATTCCTCAGACTGTAAATGAGGGGGTTCAGCATGGGGTTGAAGAGGCTGTGAAACAGGGATAGCATCTTCTCCTGCTCCTCACGCTGCTTGGAGTCTGGGACCATGTAAACCAACATAGCGATGCCAAAGAAGAGCCCGACTACGCAGAGGTGGGAGGAGCAGGTGGAGAAGGCCTTTCTGCGACCCTCCCCAGACTGGATCTTCAGAATGGCCCAGAGGATACGCGTGTAGGAGACCAGCATGAAGAAAAGGGGTGCAACTAAGACAAACACGCTGGCAGCAAGAATGACCAGTTGGTTGATCCAGGTGTCAGCACAGGCCAATTTGAGGACAGATAGGATCTCGCAGAAGACGTGATTGACTTCTCGGGTTCCACAGAAGGGCAGCCTTTGAAGGAGAATGGCATGCACAATGGCCAGGGCAAACCCACAAGCCCAGGACAGGACAGCCAAGGCAGTGCACAACCTCCAGTTCATGATGACAGTGTAGCGTAGGGGGTGGCAGATGGCCACGAACCTGTCATAGGACATCGCCACCAAAATCAGGCATTCCGTGGCAGCAAAGGCCAAATATAAAAACACCTGCATGATGCAATGGACAAAGGAGATGGTTCTTCTCTGGTTCATTAGGTTTGCCAGCATCTTGGGGACGCTGTTAGAAGCATAAGATATGTCAAGGACAGCCAAGTGGGAGAGGAAGAAGTACATGGGGGTGTGCAGTCTGGGGTCCAGCCAAATGAGCCCCAGGATCGTCCCGTTTGCCAGCAGACTGAAGACATAGAACAGGGAGAAGATCCCACAGAGGAGCAGTTCCATGTCCGCACTAAGCTGGAATCCCACCAAGATGAATTCTGTGACCCATGATTGGTTGCTCCCCATGCCTGTCTGGTTCTCTTTCAAAGGCAGACGTGCTGCAGAAAGGTCAGAACGGGAAACACAAAGGAGATGAGAATGATTTAAGTTCAGAAAGGCCTTATATACTTATTTAATGCTTGTCTTCAAAATTTGCTTACTTTTCTGTTCTCAACTTAAAAAAATAAATTCAAACTTATAAAGTGTCAAAATTATACGAAGGCCTCCCATAGACCTTAGCTCAGATTCAAAAATTACTTATTTTTAATATTGATTCTCGTTCTCTTTTGTCTACTTATGGATCATAATATTTCCTGAGTTGTAGACAGGTGCCCATTTGCTCCTGAACTCCTTATTTTCCCTCATGAAAAAGCACATTCACTCACTGAATCCGGAAAGTTAACATTCACATGATTCTCCTTTCTACTCTGCAGTATTCCCCCAACAACTGTCCAGTTCACGGTCCAGTACAAGATCACATTACGCTTAGTATCATCCACCTTTGTTCCTCGTCCATCAAACATGTTTACCCAGTTCTTACTGGTGTTTCATGACATTGATATTTCTGACGAGTTTAAAGCAGCTGGCTTGTAAAATTTCCCCTAAATTGAGATTGCGCAGTGTCACTCCTGCTTTAATTCAGAGAATACATGGCAGTGTCCCTCTCAGTGCCTTCCACAGGTAGAAGCGTGATTACCCATGATGCCGACAAGGTCACTTGCTGAAGATGGTTCCACCTCCGCCCAGGTCTGTTCATGATAAAATTACCATTTGTCTCTACTGTTATTTCTGAAGACACCCATTAAAATTACTATGTCAGCAACCCTTCGGGTCCTAGCTTTAGAATCCATACTTGATCTTGCCTGACTCAATTATTAGCAACAATGCCTTCAGATAATTCCAACCACATCATCTCTTTTAAATGTTTTGACAGCTTAATTCTTAATTCTTTAAGGAAGGACCTTGTCTATCAATTCATCCACTCTCATGACTTTTAAATGATCACTGTTATTTACTTGACTGTTCAAACCGTCTTGCATTTGCACCCCCAAAGATGGCTCCTGTGCACATTGAACCTGTTCCATAATCCTGATAATTTCTTTGCTCCAATTTAGTGATGGAAACCACTAAAGGGCCCAGTTCCTTATTGGTGATTCTTCTTTGTGAACCGATACATAGGTCTTACGATGCTTCCAACAATGGATACTTTGACCATGATCGTCTCCCAAGTTTCAAAGCCCAGATTTGAAAAATGAACCAATCTGTAGCTGCTGAGTCAGTGCTGACGTGACTGCCCGTATGTGTCAGGACAGAGTTGTCTCCAAAGCATGGTCAGAAGAGAATTACCAAGCTTCTCTTCCGAAGCACTTCGGACAAACCTTGAACTCCAACCATCTCTGTAGCTTCCATGCACCATCCCATTTGCAAATCCCGGGAAGTCTTGAAGGAAGAGCAAAGTCTTCAGGACAGTACAGATTGTTGGAGGAGAGGACAGATCCTTATAATGATCTCGACAATTAGCACATCATTTGTCTATTATGAAGCCAAATTTATTTTGCTAAATTAGCATTGGCATTGAAGAAAATGGTCTTGATATTATTGACAAGTTTATTTTTAGGAAAATTATAGATATTTTAATGCTAGAACCTTATTAATGGTTATTATATTATTTTCCTCCTATTCAGACAATTAGGCTTCTTGAAATGTTTAAACTGGGAGGTGAACATTTCAAAATCAAATTCATTGCACCAGTAAAGTAGTATTTGATTTTGGTATCAAAATTGCAAAGCCTTCTTAGAAAAATACTTCTGAAACACTATTTAAAGACTTGAAACATTCACCCCAAAGTGATTGTTTGTTAAAAGTTTGTATATAAAGTTATATCCCTTTTACTGAACCTGTATTTTCATTTCTATGGTAAATTAAAAAAATTTAAAGTGTTGTTTGTTTACCTATATGTTTTATTTAGAAGCATAGCAAGGGCATTTTTCTGTTTCAAACGATTCCTGTACATCCAACTTTGAACAACTGCATACGATTTCCTTGGGTACCAGTACTATACTTTATTAAATATATTCATATTCTCTTCTCATCAAGTTTTGCACAGTTGCTGCAACAAGTAAATTCTAGGCTCATTATTTTTGTCTGTTTTCATGATGCTTTTAGATTCAAATTCTTGATATTTTAAGAGCTCAGTCAAATAAACCAAGCAAATAGTGGGCCTATGTCTACATGTTTAAAAACTATACAAGCAAAATCTCAAGATATTGTAAGGCTTTCCATTGGCAGACTATGCAGTGGGGAAGGGTGTCTAATTTAGATGCCATGACTCTAAACCCAGGTTCACTTTTCCCATGTGCTGGTCCCACTTAAGAAATAAAGGCTGCCTCCATGAGTACTCCCAGGGGCAAGGTGATCCTGATACTGGGTAACATCCACTTCCTGTTTTCATCCTTATCAAAACTTGATGCCAAGAAGGTAGGATATATTACATGGAAATTGGAAGTCCACCAAGTTAACTGTACAACCTGACTATCCGCTATGTAGCTTCTTGGTTACCAAGTGAAAATGCCTCACCTTCTGTCTACAACCCTGAGCCATAAGGCATCAATCCATGGGACACCCGTCTGTGTTTCTTACTGCCCATATCATCCCAACATGACCTTGCAGGGCTCCCTCCTTCAACAACCTTGCACCATCTGCATGATCAAGAACAAGAGACACCAGTGTTTGACTTTGTCTCTACCATAGCATTTTCTTCTCAGTTCCTGGATTGATAGGAAGCCTCATTCCTACATTAATAGCATCTGCAACAACCTGAGTCTTCAGCTTGCCTTACAAGAAGAAAATGAAAAGTGGCCTAAGAAGTAGCAATGCAGGCACACATGATAGAGTTTGGATTTGGGAAAATTTCTAAGCCTGAAGGAGGGTGGATCAGACGTGCAGTAACATTAACGAACAACAACTCAGAGGAGACAGAGAGACAAAGTCTTCGTTTCTTTCATTTTTGGAAACAGCATAGCATTTGGATGCATTCTATATAATGGTGATGAACGAAACAAGAGATTGAAGTTGCCAGGGATTTTGTGTTACTTAGAGCCACAATCAATACTCATGGAAGCAGCAGTCATGCAATGAAATGGTGGGTTGCTTTTGGGAAATCTGCTGCACAAGACCTCTTTAAAGCCTTGAAAAGCAAGAAGTTTACTTTGAGGACTAAGGTGTGCCTAGCCATAGCCAAGAATCTTCAATTCTTCGTATGCCTATGAAAGGTGTACCTTTATTCTGAATAGGAAGACTGAAGAAAACTCGACATGCTTCCATTGTGGTGGCGGAGAAGAATAATGAGAGTGCTTTCGGCTGCCGAAAGAAAAAGTAAAACAAAAAATCTGCCTTGGAAGAAGTGCAGCCAGAATACTCCATAGAGCAGAGATGGTGAGACTTGTCTCATGTCCTTTGGACCTATTTTCACGAGAGACCAGTCCCAAGAGGAGCGCATTATGCTTAGTAAAGTAGCAGGGCAGCAAGAAAGGGGAGACTTTTAACAAGATGGCTCAACATACTGACTGCATCAATGGATGCAGGGGTAAACACAGTTTTGAGGATAGCACCGGACCGGGCAGTGTTTGGTTCTGTTTCAGATTGGGTTGCTATGAGTCTGTGCTGACTCCATGGTACCCAACTACCTATAACTGTCCATTCAGTGTAAGACATGCTCTGTTTATGCAACAATAACAGTCTCTACAGGATGCAAAGTGGAGGATAGCCGCGTTAGACAGTAAACAATGCCTGACACACATTTACTTTCCAACAAAATAATCGTATTGCATAAGGTCACTGAGGAAAAACAGATGTATTTGAATTGCGGAGCTGCTGAAGAATATTGAAGGAACCATGGATTGGCAAAAGAACAAACATCTGTCTGGCAAGAAGCGTAACCAGAATGCTCCTGAGAAGCAAGGCTGGCAAGACTTTGTCTCAAGTTCGTTGCGCATGCTGTCAGGAGAGACCCCTTGCTAGGGAATCACATCATGCTTGGTAAAGTAGAGGGGCAGTGAAGAGTTGCATACCCTCCACAAGATGAAGAGACACAATCGCTGCAACAAAGGCTCAGCAGTATCGCCATGGTGAGGGTGGTGCAGGACCCGGGGTGTTTCATTCTGTTGTATATCAGGTCACCATGAGTCAGAACTGACCCAAAGGGACCTAACAGCAACAACAACAGAGGTAACGGAAATGATTATCACCCAGCAGGAACATGTGCATCTTGCTTTTTAATGTAGTTGTTGTGTCAGAATCAACTCTTCTCTTCACCTTTACCTTTGATGCCTTCATTTCCCTCTTGATACTTGAAGATAAGCCGTAGGAAATATGAGTGAAGAGGGAGCAAAACCCTTAAGTAGCCACAGCACAAGAGCAGACAAGAAAATGTCACCATTGTTGGTGATGCTAAGGGGTCCCTTCCAGGAGCAGTCAGTGGAAGCCATGCAGCTCAGAAGATGACAGGTTTGCATGGTCTGGGAGTGCAATCCCTCCCCATTTCCTGTATCTCAGCTAGGGGACCTTGCTCTCTCCCGCCAACGCTGCCAACAGAACAAGAGTTCATTCTGTTCCATTTTCTCATATAGAATATTTACATTAAAACAACCCCTCCAGATTCCACGAATCCCCCTCAGATTCAAATGTTGATCTGAGTGGCTAAAATAGGAGGAAATGTATAACTGACATGCACTTGGTGTCTTTCATAATATATAAATTCATTTCAAACATATGGGGGGGGGAAATTTGCATAATATTCACTAATTCAAGAGACAGATAATTATCAAGGAGCCCTGGTGTGATAGTGGTTACATATTGGGCTGCTAATCCCAAGGTCAGCATTTCGAAACCACCAAACACTCCGAGGAGAAAGCAGGCTTTCCACTCCTGTAAGGGGACAGTCACAGAAACCCACAGGGACAGTTTTAGCCTGCCCTATAGGGTTGTTATGCATCAGCACCCACTTGATAGCATGTGAATTAGGTTTT